TACAGATTATCATCCAGTCCGCTAAGAATATAATTTTTGCACAAAAAATCAGAATGCTTCCACACCTCAATCACGAGAAAGCTTTCATTCTCTGGAGTTTCATCTGGCAGATCAAGGACATCTTCCTTGATGAACTTCTGTAGACATAACGTAGTCAGGTAGAAGAATATCTTCTGCTGCCAGCGCTTGAAATCAATCCCGGAAAATTTTCCGAGTTTTTCTGTCGGTGCTAAAGCCGGTGTTCGACTTGTCGATGCGTTGGTAGTCACCATCGGAACAGCTTGATTTCCGTTGTCATTCGCCTTTTTTTTTGGAAAAAAATGACACAAACAAACGTAGATTTTAATCTCCAACAAAACGCCACAAAGGCTTTACTCTCCAAATGGGAGTACACAAAAACCACAAAGGTTTTAGTTTCCTGAATCCAAATCCAGAATCCATAGCCGTAGCCGTAGCCGTAGCCGAAGCCAAGCGAGCGACGACGACGACGCGAGACTTGCCTTCTTCCTAACTCTTTAAGAGCTACATGAAGTGCATTTGTATATAAACCCACCAAACTCCTTTTCCTCTACCAATGAGGGACAATGTCTCATTAAAAGGAGAGGGAAACTTAAAATTTTACTCAAAATTTTCATTTCCCTCCATTTTCCATTCACCCTCTTTTTAATACCTTTCTATGTTAAAAAGAAACTCAACAACTTGTACACTGTGATCAATTTTGTGGATCCAAATGTTGCATTGTCAGTATTTACATTAAGGAAAATAAATATTCACCCTCACAGCTAAACTGTTGTTTCATTGTTAGGTGATCAACTGGCTACTATCCAGTCAATTATGGCCTGTAATATACTTTCAGGTGCACGGGCGTGAAAGGAAATTTGTTGAAAGTTGTTTCGATGACAGGATAACAACAAAAGGCAGATCATAGTTAATCCCTAGGACTATGTAGCTTGAGAGTTTGAATAGATTTTATTTTGTGAATGTCTGCTATCAATCTGAGGTTTGTTCTTTTGTAATATGTTAAAACCTGGAAAGAAAGTAGAAAAATGCATGGAGCATTTGCTCATAATAAATCCTGAAGAGGAAAGACTCTTGCATTTTCCTTTTTTTTGGAAGTTTCCAGCAAGTAAGAAGAGGATACTGAGATATACCTGAACTTACCTGAGGGTACAGAAGATGAATAGAAGAAAAGCAGTATACTCAATCCATTGTAGAGTTGCTCTTTTCAGAGTACTGCCAAAAGGATCTGAACTAGGAAATGCTTATGTTTCTGACTATATTTTTGAACATCTATCAACTATTTGCTAAGTCGGAGTTGTGTGCTGTACATACCTGACTGATGATTTATTGCAAGAAGAAGACGGAGAAGAGAATTTGGAAGCTGCTATTGACAGTGTCATATCTTTCTGTTTTAGCCTTTTGGGGGATATGTTCCTACTGTGGAAACAACCGCTTGGTTGTTTTCCCTTCTGTTTGTGCAATGCACAACTGCAGTTTTTATGGTAAGGCCGTCTCTCAATATCCATGTCTGACATTGACAAGCTTCCATCAAAGACACACTGTAGCATCATTTCAGCTGCTCCACTGGCCATTTTCTTCTCTCTCTTCTTCCCTGCTATAAAAGGTATCTAAAAGTGTTTGGCTACAGGTAATGTGCTTCTGTGTGTATCAGAGGTTCAAGGAAGTTTGATTCTCTTGAAATTCTTTGTCTTTTTAAGGGTTTATATAGAGCTAACAAGCATTGATTTACGTGTCCAATTTTGGGAATTGGGTAGAATCAACGTTAAAAAATGGTTGTTTTCTGCTTCTATAGAATTCAAGAATTTCTAGTAACGATGTTCTTGTGCATGTAGTTATCTTATGATCAATGAAACAGGCGTTTTTTCCTATGATTCTTTTGTCCATGCTGCAGTCTTGGCATATGTTTGCACGTACTGGTTTGTTTTATATATGTACTTTTGTGTGTGTGTGTAGAGGAACAACTGAAATACTTACATGCTTTTATTGTCTTTTGCTGGTGGCTAGCATTGCTCCTATAAGTCATGAGAATTTTGTGGGATTCTTCTTGTTATTGTAGTTCTCTTGTGATTCCCTCAATATAAGTGTTTTCTCCTTGGAGTTCTCTTCCCTTGACTCTGGGACCAACTTCTTTCTCAGACATACACACGCGCGGGGGGGGGGGTGGGGGTGATAAAG